GCTTGAGCCATGGCAATTTGCCATGTCTGAAAAGCAAACAAATATCACCAACCAGAGTAATGAGCATTGTGATTGTAGCAGGAATTTGAGCACGGATTTACATGGGATCTCTGTGTTTGGGCTCACAAGCCTTTGATTCTGTTACTATTAAAAGTAAGCAGCTGCAAAACTCCAGCTGTGCAGGTCTGTGGAAAAAACAAGCATTGGCCGTTGACTGCTTGACGCTCTACCTGCAAGGCTGGACCAGATGTGTGAGTATTTTGTATATTATGTTCTTTGCTTCTCTGAAGAAGGAAGCAAGGAAGGCTTCCAGTAAAATTTGTAGAGAGTCTTTTAAAATCTTTTATTGCATTTCAGTGAACAGGCTCCAGAACTTTAAAACTTGTCCACTTTTTTTTTTCAATTACACAGAAAGAGCTCTCATGATAGATATTATCTCTGTGGCAAAATTTGATTTCCTTAGAACTTTAGAGCTTCCCAGCTAAATCAGAAGCATCACAGAAAATGCTACTTATGGGACAAGGAGTCTTTGCTATTTTGAACTGAGTCCATTGTTGAAAGAAATAAATATGTCCAGATGTACCATCTCCTAAAAGTCACAGTACAAAAGTACAGATTCGGAACCAAAGTACAATGGCTACAAACAATCTTTAATTCATGCAAAGTTACGATAACCAAGAGACTATAAACTTTATGGTTTGGTAAATTGGCTGCAATCTGCATCCCTAGAGGAGAGGGGAACTGAGATCAGCATGGTGACGAATATAACTGAGGGCCCCACAGATCACTTGTAGTCTGAAATGAAAATCAGGCCAGACCAGATGTAGCTACATTTATTGCTGCGCTGTGGATCAGAAAATGTTAAGAAGAAAACAAAGAGAACGAGGATTTCCAAGCATAAAACAAAGATATTTCCAAGCATATTAGCAGGCAGTCTCATGGAATGATTCTATCAGTCTTGAGGCCGCAGTGCCTGGCAAGCCGTGAAATACTGATCTTCTCTTTTTGTTTTTACCAGCACGGCTTGATATATATATGACCCAAGGCTGACATCTAGTGGAAAGAAGAAGTCACAGGACTTTTCTTCCCAGGCGCGGATTTCTCGGTGCCTTGGAACTTTAGAGGTGTTTTGCTCTTTTTTTTTTTTATTATTATTATTTTTTTTCCCCAGAAGTCATGCTAAATGTCACACTAAGTGGATTTTCCTGGGCAGGAAAGCAAAACGAGATGCTCATTGGCACTCCGGCTAAGCGTGGATCTTGTCTCATTTGTAACAAGTCTATTGGTAGCTGAATGCCAGAAGCTTCACAGTGCTGTCCAAAGCTCCAAAGGCAGGATTTTAAAAAAGGCTTTAAAAGACAATGCTCTGGATGATCGTGCCTAGTAGAGTTTGGGTAGAGCACCCGGAACACATTCTCATAGCAGAATAAATGTTCACTTCAGCTGCAGAAATGCTGTGTTATTGGATTTAGATCTGCAGTTCTGGATCACAGCAGCCCCTTGGAGAACAACCCCTGAGGCTGCAGTGCTGCACAGCCTGCAGTTCTCTCCATCCTTTGGCTCACTCACTGCCTGTGCTGTGCTGGTTGGGCTGGGAGGATAAGGCTGGTAGGACTGAAGGAATGTTTGCACAAGACTCTGCTTCAATTTCTGCACCTGGTATCACATGCTTACGGGGAAAAAAAGCACCTCCGTTTTCAGTTAGTTATAAATATAAGTTTCAAGCTCTCATGCTTTCATGGAAGAATTGAAAACATGAACCCCAAACACAAAAAAACAATGAAGGACAAATAAAACTGTCCAGTGTTTACTTTTCATATCTTGCAAATTTAAGTCAATATCATAAATCCGCTGGCACCTCAGAGCTGGTTTGTAATGCTCAGCAATAGAGGGGGAGGGAAGCACAGAGAAGGCTCACCAGTTCCCAGGCACAGGAAGAGAGAGGGCAAACAGAACTCCTGGAGGTGGCTGGGGGAACAAAGCCCAGGGTCACGAGAGTGTAAAAATGGTAGAAGGCAGGCTTTCCTTATTCACTATTGATTGAAGGGGAGCTGGACTAGATGATCTTTACAGATCAACTCAAACTATTCTATGATTCTGTATTGTAGGAAGCAAAACATGTCTCCTCCACATATTGGGATAAAGATACAAGGCTCTGTAGCTGCAGGCTGTAACCATTTGCCTTGTCTGTGGATCATCATCTTGAGCGGTGTTTGTAGCACATATAGGAGTAAACTGCCTGCAGACTTGAAAACAAAGCTTTTGTTGGCCACAAACAGGTAAACACAACAAATCTATGCAGAAATACTGTTACATCCCTAGGGGAATGCACAGCCCTCAGCCACTGCTGAAGAGCACAGTTCCAGTCCTCCTTCACAGGCAATTGCTATGTAGACAAGGTGAAGCTCTTTTTTTTTGGAATGATCTGATAACAAAACATCAGTGTTATACAAACAGTACAAAGTTTATTGCAGGATTGAGCTTTAATCTCTTGTGGTTGCTTATTGACAACAGAAAAATTAGAAGATCAGTGAAAAGGCCTTCTCTGCATTCTGTTCATAAGCTGCCTTGAAACAGAGGATCTCACTGCTGCTCTTTCTAAAACCCAACGTAAGTCTTAAATGAGAGCCAGCAAGGATTGGGTCTGGGTTGCTTAAAATTCCCATTTATTCTGCTTGATTTATCTTTTAGTGCTTCCTGATTTTGGCTTTCCTAAGCACAGGAAGAGCAAAAATCATGATGTGTGATTTATGGTATATCAAGATATATGGTACATGAAATCTAGTGCTGTCAGATGTGGTTGAATGTCATGAAAACTTATGGAGACGGGTTGGGAGACTTTCACCACCTGACACCAGATACCTGCCAGGAGAGACAAAACACTGAAGAAATCAGTCAGGCTTCTTTTTTCAGGGATTCCCTCATCTTTGACTTTTTGCTAGCAGAGAATTAAGCCCTAATTTTCAAGTGTACACACTTGAATATATATATATAGTGTATATATATATATATATATATATATATAGTATATAGTGTTACAGGTTGGGTTAATGTAATGAATCCACAACTATACCTATGTCAGGAGCGCACAACCTCAGAATCGTGGGATGGGTTTTGGTGAAGCTTGCAGACCTGGTAATCTGCTGTGGGAGGCCAATCTGGAAACTAGGATATTTACTTTTTCCTGTACGTTTGTAGAGAAATCAGATCAAAAACACAGGTGTTTTAAAACTTCATGCTTTTGTATACCTTGAATAATACCTATTTAATGAGAGCCATGGAAGTAACTGCAACAAACAATACAGAAGATTGACTTTGTCTTATATTCTTTATATGTTTCCTTGCATATGGGTACAGTTGGCTAAAACATGAATTTGCATAGTTTTTAGACCTGGCTAGATCACAAGTATGTAAGTGCAGGCATTTAATAGTCATAATAATTCTGCCAGTTTGCTGAGACATCTGGGCCACACAATGTCTCTTCTAGTCCCTGAAAGATTGAGGGCAATACTTAGAATTATTTTTCCTGTTGTGGAATTTGGTTTTTGTGAGTGCTAAGATTGTCTGAATTTTGCATGCTTCCTTTCTAGTGTGTATCTGTGCTCTAGTATGCAATGCAGCCCAGAAGGTATTTGTTACAAAAGAGAACCAAAGATCTGTAGAAAATACTTTGTGTTTTTTCCCCAGCTATGACCTTGACAATGAGTATGGACATAGTTTTGCAATGTGTTCATGCTGGAGCAGGATAGATGTAGACTCTGTATTTACATGCTTCTGAATTTTATGGGCTTGCACTTAGTCACTGCTCTCCATAACTAATTGTTTGGTCAGGCAGCCATCCTGAGGGAATCCAGCAAATGATGTTATGGGACTGCCTTTGAAAATTACTGGAATAAATAATCCAGATAGCTTTAAGATGGAATTTATGATGAAATTAGATAACTGCTGTGTCTTAAAATAGCGAGGGACTTCAAGTGTCCTCTTTTAGGCTTGTGTATATTAAGACAGAATGAAGAGAGGCATAAAGATGCAAGCTTCTTCCTACCCTTACATCTGCATCTGCCAGTTTTCTCTATAGCAGAGGACAGACAGCAAGATTTGCCTGCAATTAGATAAAATAGTTATTTGTACTGGGTAATCATAGCCTGAATAAGGGATAACTGGAGTTGGAAAGAAGTTCTGATTCAAGAGGAATCTCAACAGGCTAAGGACTGGAGTCTGCTCTTAGCTCCTGTAATTTTGTGGAGCTTCTTGAGGTCATCACACTTGCAAGATTAAGACTTTACATTTTAGGAAATGCCCAAATAAGTATCAGCCATGTAAATGATTGTATGTGGGAGACAGAACATACCACAGACCAAGTTCAGCAAGCAGATATATCTTGATGACTCAGATATATCTTTCAAAATCATTTTGTGTGGGAGGTTGGATTAGCTGACTTAAGTCCCTTATTTTTGCTAACTCTGCCACAATTCTGTGACAACTAAGCAGATGTTTATGTCATTTGGGGCTTATTTTTCAAAACAGATCAGAGCAAACTCAACATGTCGCCTTGAGACTCTAAACTTGCATAAGAGCAATCTCATCAGTATTTTGGGACACAAGTACAGGATATTTAGGATGTTATGCAGATGAATTAAATGTGTCCAGGGGCCAGTGTCAAGTGAAGCAGTACTACCTCAAGATAATCCTGATCATGAGAGCTGCCTCAGTCATCCTCTTTACTCCCAATAGGAATGTTTCCTGACTATTAGGGCAACAGGGCATTTATTAGTCACCCAAACATATTGCAGACCAGCATGTGGTTGGTGTGTGATGTCTGTCCCTTGCCAGTTATGTATTTGGCACAGAAGGCCAAATAGAAAGGAAAAAGCTACAAGACAAAGGGGACCAAGGTTTTCATTAAATGACACTGGTGTTTCTGGAAGACAGAACAACAGTTCAAGAATCTAATTTCCATGTTATTCTTTACTCCAGGGTTTCCAGAGCATCTCTGTGCAATGGCTATGGTGTGTCTGTTGGACTTTGAAGCTTATGCTGAAAAATATTTACCTAAGATTGCTTGGGATTTCTTTGCAGCGGGAGCAGATGAGTGTAGCACCCGAGATGAAAACATCCTGGCATATAAAAGGTAATGGCAGGAAGAAGTGGGGTTGTTGTGCTGAAATTTTTAAACTATGTTTGTGTACAAGTGTTTGGATTTCATACGCAAAGATTCCTAACGCCTTGCCTGCCCTTATCTGAGTAATGTATGCTGTATGCTATGATGCTAGCCTCCATAAGGCTCAAATTGCATAAGACACAAGGGATGCTGAGGATGCAGGCAAATGGTGTGGCATGGTGTGCTTGATATGGTATGACAGGAAAGGGAATGTGTGGCTACAACAGAATGTGATGCAATGTGTAGCATGTGGCCAATTGCAGGAAGCCTACATGCAAGTAGTGTGAGATTCGGAAAACATGCTGTGGACACTGAAGTCAGTAGAACGTACAGTGAATACAGGCATGATTGCTAAGTGAAAGACAGAGACCTGGGACTTGGCTGCAAGTAGAAATAATCTGTGGGATGGACAATAGGAGAACAAGGGAGGTAAACCGTGGCAGTCTGAAGTGGGAGTGTAAAAATGAAGTACTGTGACGAGTGGGCAAGAGTATGGGATTAATGACAGGTGGTAGTGGCAGAAGTACTAGCTGAATTGACCTCTGAAAGCAAGAAAATGGATGAAGTGCCTTTTTATATGCTGATTTCTTTATTAGCTCTGATTGCTGCATTTCAATCGGTAAATGTAGACCTAGTTTCCATACAGCTTCAGAAGCAGAAAAGCCACCAGGCAGTTACCATCCTGAAGGGTGTTTTATTTCTGTTGCCTTAAAGGATTCGTTTTCGGCCACGTATGCTGCGAGACGTATCTATGCTGGACACTAGGACTAAAATCCTGGGGACTGAAATCAGCTTTCCAGTAGGAATTGCCCCAACTGGCTTCCACCAGCTAGCATGTCCTGATGGAGAGAAAAGCACAGCCAGAGGTACTCTTCTGCTTTGCTATTATGTAATTTGTGAAATAAAATAAAAAAATAAAATAAAACAATACTGTTTTTTCCAGCTTCACAGGTGAGAAGCTGTTAGGATAGTTTGAAGTATGACTGAGCAAAGTGCTCAGATTCCAAAGGGCAAACCTTATTTCACCCTTGTTTATGAATGACCACAGAGTGCATGAGAAGCCATGTATTGCTGCACTTCTTCAGCTGCCACTGTTAACAGATCAGTCCTATATTGCTTCTGAGTCAGAGACTGTGGACACGTTGTTGGGCTACGCAGGTCTTCAGTGTCAGGGGCTTTAGGTAGGACATAAAGTGATGGACAAGACTCAGCCTGCATATTCCTCAGTGCTGATCAGAACAGTGTCAGCCTTGGAGAAAAGCAGGGTGTCTCAGTTTAATCATATGTTAAGTTTAGAGAGCAACAAGTGTTTTTTTTTCTCCTGTGTGCATTTCTGTGTACACTGAGAGCATTTGTATGTGCATTCCTACAAGGAAGCAGACATGAGGATGAAGGCCCTGTTTTTTAAAAAATTACTTAAATCATAGAATCATAGAATGTCTTAAGTCAGAAGGGATCTTTAAAAATCATCCATTTTCAATTCCCCCTGCTATGGACATGGACACCTCCCACCTGGTCAGGCTGGCCAGGGCTCTATCTAACCTGGCCTTGAACACCCATAGCTTCTCTGGACAGCCTGTGCCAGTGCCTCAGAATGTTCTGAGTAAAGAATTTCTCCCTAACATCTAAGCTAAATCTCCCCTCTTTTAGTTTAATACTACTCTTGTTTTCTATCTTGTTTTCTATCACTATCAGCTTGTGTAAAAATCATCCTTTTATGTACTGGCAGGTCACAATGAGCTCTCCCCACAGCCTTCTATTCTCCAGGATGATCAAGCCCAGCTCCCTTAACCTTTCCTCATAGGAGAGGTGCTCCAACCCTCTAATCATCTTCATGGCCCTTCTCTGAACCTGCTCCAATGACTCCTAATCCTTCCTGTACTGGGAGACCCAGGTCTGGATGCAGTACTGCAGATGGATCCTCTCCAGGGCAGAGAGTTTACTAAGTTTGAGAAATGAAAGCAACAGTTGGTAATTTACCTTAACTCCCTAACCGTGATCCTACAACAGCATGTGGCAAAGTCAGCTGTTTTTAATGTCTGAGATGTATTTGCCAGCTGTCAGATCTTTATCTTTGGTAGGATATACAAACAACAGGTTCAGGTTTTCTCTGTAAACAATGTACAAAAAGCAAATCATAGCCATTGTCTGGCAGCGATGCTCAAGTGACCTTCATTCTGATTATTTTTCAATACCTCGCAAAGCGGCCAAAGCGATGGGCACCTGTTACATTGCCAGCACCTACTCTACCTGTTCTCTGGAAGAGATTGCTGCAGCTGCTCCTGGTGGCTTTCGGTGGTTCCAGCTCTATATCCACCGCAACAGGGCAGTCTCTAGGCAATTGGTCCAACAGGCAGAGGCCTTGGGCTTCCAGGGCCTCGTCCTTACCGCGGATCTGCCCTACACTGGCAAAAGGCGCAATGATGTCCGTAATGGCTTCCAACTTCCTCCCCACATGAAACTGAAGAACTTGGAGGGAGCCTTTGAGGTTTGTGAAATGATCTCCTTCTTTCATTCCTTGTGCTGGTGTGTACCACATGAGACAAAACCACTGGGTAACTGCTGCTTCGGTATCTGCTGCGTCTTGGACATATCTTCTCCCCTCCTTTTTCTGCAGCCTTCTAGCTTGACCTCCTGCCAGCCTGGCTACTGGCTCTAAGATCCCAGTGCAGCTTCCTCAAAGACACTGATTTTCATCCTCATTGTTGTCATCTAGTAATGCACGCTTTACGACACTGTTAAACATGATTGCTAGAGGTTTAACTAATCTCTTCTAGGGCAGGGGAAGACTTCAAATCTCTGTGTTGTTACAGTTCAGATGAGGTTTCGTTCTGTTTCACGGCTGTAGGGAAATGACCGATCTGAGTACGGACTGCCACCCAACAGCCTGGATCCTTCGGTCACCTGGGATGATATCTACTGGCTGCGGAGCCTGACTCACCTGCCCATCATCATCAAAGGGATCTTGACAAAAGAAGATGCAGAGCTCGCAGTGAGGCATGGAGTTCAGGGAATTATCGTGTCCAACCATGGTGGAAGGCAACTGGATGGAGCACCTGCCACTGTAAGTGAGAAAATGGATGTCCTGTGAGTACTGTGTGCATGTTTGTGCTAACTTGGCTACTGGCACACAAATCTTATTAAATGTGCTTCTGGTAGACTCATGTGTTGCACATCTGTGGACATATGCAGATGTACTATAGATTTAAACAACTGAGGTGCTTGCCTTGACATGGGCTGCCTACTCAAGTATTTCCTTATTGTCTCAGGAAGGCTCTTTAACCATCACTGAGCTCCCATTACTGTAGCAAAACTGCTGGCCTAACTAAATAAAAATTTTCATCATGAGCTGATGCAGCGCATACATGTTCTTCTTACACTGCATCAAAAATAAAACAAAGCTCTGGAACCAAAAATGTGTAAATGAGAGAATGATGTACTCTCATTGTTCACATATGCCAAAATATGCACAAACAGTGTAACTAGATTTAGTGAGATAGCTGTTTGCATCCTTGCAGACTCAGGTCTAATTAGGAATCCTGACTTCATGAAGCCAGGGAAAAAAAAAAGGGGGTAATTTATCCAGAGAAAAATTCTCCCTCTTTTTAATCTATACAAAGAAATAATACTTTTTGGACTTATGTATACTTCACTGCTTTAATTTGGTTTCCATTTTTCCAACTGTTCTTAATTTACATGTCTGTATTGCACAGTATCATACTCTGTATGTTTTTGTTTTGTTTTGTTTTCCTCTGTAAAAGAAAACTAGTGCCAGGAAATTCTCTTTTATGTTGAGGGTGATAATAATAAATTTTCAAAATGTTATAGACATAATAATGGAAATGATGTCCAAGTTTCTTACATTCATAGACAAAACAGTAGATATTTCGTTCAGCACTCCTCTGGTACCAAATCTGGCAACAGAGGCTACTGCCAGTGCTCTCGGTGAGCTACTCTTGGAAAATTTCATCCCCCAAAATTTTCAGCTTGAAATTCTGAAAAGTGATGACCAATTGGAAAAATCTATTTGGTGATCTTAGATGTAGCTGCTTTCATTAAGAAGATGAGAATCAAGGAAGAGAATGTAAGAGACTGAAGAAAAGAGATCTTTGAGTTTGCTGTGGAGGGCTAGTTGTGTTTTGTGCATGGTCATGCCACTGTGATAGTGCCTTTGGGACTGCATGGTACTGCTCTGTGCTACTAGCCTAGCACATCAGAAAAGACCTCAGGGAATCAAGAGACGTAGCTTGAAGGAAACAGTATATTGACCGTGCTGAATAGCAAATGAAATCCTTCGTAGCTGCTTTATGGGTTTTCAGGAGGCTTTCTACAGGTGGTCACTAGGATTAGGATGAAATGTGAGTTTGGCAATTTAGACAGTTGTAGAGAGAAGTCTAACACTCTTTTTACAGTCATATAATTCATCATTGTCTCAAATGAAACTAAGATACTAAAAAATATTATTTCTATTGAAATTTATTGTTTAAATCTCAAAAAAAAAAAAAAAAATCAAAATCAAGTGAAAATGTTACTTTTTCATATATCGGAAGTGCTAGCAAAGAATGTCCATATAAACAAAACTATCTGGCAAATAAGCAAGGACAAGCACTGTATTGTACAGTTTTTGGTACTGAGTTATTTATGATGCATTTCCATATTTCATTTTGAGAGCTTATTCTGTTCTAGTATATCTGTCTGTCTGTGTGGGATATCACGTCTTTGTCTTGAACCCAAAAGATGAGCCTAAGTTGCAAATGGCTTCTTTTTTCCAGATAGATGCTCTGGTTGAAGTTGTGGAGGCAGTACGAGGCAGAGTTGAAGTTTATTTAGATGGTGGTATACGGAAAGGAAGCGATGTATTGAAAGCACTGGCATTGGGAGCCAAATGCGTCTTTATTGGAAGACCAGCTTTATGGGGTCTGGCTTACAAGGTGAGTAAGGAGGTTTGAGTCTGCATCAAGGAATCACAGAATCATAGAACAGTTGGTGTTGGCGGGTCCCTCTGGGTCCATCTGATCTAATCCCTACTCCAACAGGAACATGTAGAGCAGGGTGCCCAGGGCCACATCCAGGTAGCTTCTGGAGATCTTATTGAACCTAATGAGATCCAACAAGACCAAGTGCAAGATGTTGCTCTTGGGTCAGGACAACTCCAAATATGGTTACTGAATGGGAGAAAAACTCCTTGAGAGCAGCTCTGTGGAGGAGGACTTAGGGATCCTGGTGGATAAAAAGCTGGACGTGAGCCAGCAGTGTGTACTTGCAGCCCAGAAAGCCAACTACATGGGATCCACCTAAAGAGGGGTGGCCAGCAGAAGGAGGGAGGTGTTTGTCCCCCTCTGCTCTGTCCTTGTGAAGCTCTACCTGAAGTGAGGCCCTCAATATTAGAAAGACGTGACATTGTTGAAGTAGCTCCAAAGGAAGGCCAGGAAGATGACCTGAGGCTGGAGTACATCTCCTGTGAAGAAAGGTTGAGGGAGGTGGACTAATTCAGCTTTGAGAAGAGAAGGCTGTGGGGAAACCTCATTGCAGACTTTCAGTACTTGAGTCATTTGCACAGCACAGAAGTGCTTTGTGGTGGTCAGAGGGGCACCAGTTTGTGTCCATCGCCTGGCACTGGACACCACTGAGAAGAGCCTGGCTCTACCTGCACTGAACCCTCTCCTCAGGCACTTATATACACTGATGAGATTCCCTTGAGTCTTCTCTATGCTAAACAGTCCCAGGTTGCATGTCTACTATCCTCAAACTCCCTAGACTCCATAGGTGTTATTGGACGGTCATTTAGAAACAGTTCAATCTTATGTATTTTTTTGTTTTTGTTGGATTTTAAGTGGCATTGCTACAAATTGAATCAAACATAGACACTTTGTTTCATTTAAAAGCACACTGGATTTTATGATTTAAAATATGATTTTGAAGCCGATAGAATCGTTCTTTGGGCCTTGATTTCTTGGCATTGAAGATTGATGTTAAAATACTGTAGGAATCAGGACCATTTGAAAGCTGGAGGCAGGCTTATCTGCCATAAAAATGAGTATGAAAATTTTTTATGCTGCCAGCTAACTCAAAAACAATATATGGTTTTGATACAGAAATTTCATAGTGGTGTTATAGATTCTTTAGAAATACACATGGAACGTTTTTTTCCACTGATACTTAGAGCATTTTGGACAAGACAGAGCACAGCTTAAGTCCTGTAGGTTACTAAGTGTACCACTACTGTCTCAGTTCCAGTTTTGTTGCTTCTTAACTACTAGCATATTGCTATGATCCAGAATCATGAATCAGGCTTCTGATGCAGAAAGTTAACATTGACATAATATTTAACATAGAGTTATAAGTATAAAATTAACAGAAATATAAATATAAATAATACAAAGTTAATATAAAGTTAAAATAATATTTAAAATGTAACTATACAGGTGTTATTTGCTTTGATAAGCTTTGGCTTTTTAGCTTATGAATTGCAGCTTTAAAGCTTTATCTTGAGAAGGAAAAACAGCATTTTTATGATCTAGATATATTTTGTGTCTTTGAAACGAGATTTCCATTCAGTAGTGTGATTACTGTGACTTTAAGTAAGAAATCACTTGAGTCTTGCAAGAAATCTGAAATAGGTGTCAGCTCTCTTTCTTTTGCCAGTAAACAATGAAAAAATGGCCCGTCATTGAGTCATATGGTCATAGAATCATTAAAGTTGGAAAAGACCTCTAATGTCATCATGTCCAACCCATCATCACCACGACCACTAAATCATGTCCCTCAGTGCCACCTCTACACATTTCTTGAACACCTCCAGAGACGGTAACTCCACCACCTCTCTGAGCAGCCTGTGCCAGTGCCTCACCACACTTTCCAAGAACAAATGTTTCCTAATACCAAAATGAACTTCCCCTGGTGCAGCTTAAGGCCATTCTCTCTTGTCCTATCACTGTTACCTGGGAGAAGAGGGTGACCCCCACCTCACCACCACCTCCCTTCAGGTAGCTGTAGTGAACAATAAGGTCTTCCCTGAGCCTCTTCTTCTCCAGACTGAACAATCCCAGCTCCCTCAGTCACTCCCCATAAAACTTGTGCTTCATTGCCGTCCTCTGCACACACTCCAGGGCCTTGATGTCCTTCTTGTAGTGATGGGCCCAAAACTGAGCACAGTACTTGAGGTGTAGCCTCATGCTGCTGTGATTTGCCTACCTATATTTTTCAATAATGCAAACAGGCAAGAGATGGGATTTGTTTTTATAGTTCAGTGTTTATTATTATATTCCTTAGAGTATTTCTAAAAATGTTTTTCAGTGGCATTATCCTAGCATACAAAAGAGAGAGGACATATGAAAGCTGTGACATAGGCTGCACCCAAAGCATTATTCTTTGCAAGAAATAAAAAATTAAAAATATACCTGACTAAATTAAATTTTTTAAAGCTTTATCATATGTGAAACTCTCATTACATCATAAAATACTGTCAGCATTGCAAGACTTGACATTTTAAAACAAGCCCACTGGTGGAGGTTAGCTGAAAACTAAAAAAAACTCTAACAGCTAGAAAATGTCAGAAGTGATAAACAACTTTGTTTTCCTTTCCTGTTCAGATGTATCCCAAAAGAAAAAAATCTGAATTAATCTATGATGAGCTGAGCACATCCAGCATATCATTTTAATCATTCATCTGCTTGAGAGACAGGAATTGGCACTGCCTTGAGGGACTGTCCCAGTTCTCATTGTGCAAGCATCCTGCAGTACTGCTCTGTGCCAGTGCTTTTTGCCCTGACTGTTTTCTTTGTTAGAGCAGGGTGAAGAAGGTCTTCAAGATGTTCTGAGGATTCTGCATGATGAGTTTCGTTTGTCAATGGCCTTAGCTGGTAAGCATCTGGCAGGTGGTTTGTAATTGGTGACACAGAAGTTTGGCACACAACTGGAGCTCCATGTGCAAGGCATCTAAAATCATAAGCCTGATGGTCACAGAAAAGGAATCCATGTGAAATGAAATTGTGCTGGTTCTGGTTGTTATATTTAAGATGATGCTTTAGCTCCTGCAAAACTATTTTGCATCTGAGGTGTCACAGCAATGATGTTTACAAGGAAGTACATTAAAGCAGATTTCTGGTCAAATTTAAACTAATAAAATGTAAAACTGCTAAATAGAGCTGAGCAAAAGTTGGGATTTCTGTTTTGATGGGAACAGTACTGTTGTCCAGTATTTCTTTTTTTTTTCTTTCTTTTTTTTTTTTTGACACATGAAAAATTCAGAAAAAAACGGATTTTTTTCTGTCTATTACAGAATATGGCCTATATATACAGGTTCTAATCTATGCATTCCACATGCTTAAAATCCTCTGTCTCTCCTCAGAGATTTTACTGTTGTCCCTATTCAGTTTCTCAGCTGTGCTCCCACCTCTATCTGCCATGTTTGACCCCGTGTTGAAAAGCAAATTTGCACAGTCTGGATTCCAGTTATGTACATGAACAAGTAGAGCAATAGGTTCCAGTGCAGAAGTATTTAAACATCAACAAAAAGGTCCTGTTGCAATTCTAATAATGTTTTAAAGAATTTCATTTTTTCAGTGACTGTAAACTCAATTGGGCAGCAATGCTGACTAGAAGACTGAGATTGAAATCCCACTGGAGGTTTCTTCATAGTCTGCTTTTTGGGTGGCTACTTTTTCACTAGTAAAGATTACTACAGGTTTTTTCCAAAAGGCTTTTATACTTGCAAATGGGCACCAAACTCATGAAGAGTGGTTGGTTGGGGCTTTTTGGAAGGACTGTGCAATTCTACTCAGATTTGACCAAATGAAACAACACTGTAAATCTCCGTTTCCAGTCACTTGACTCTCAGCCCTCTGTCCTTTCTGTCTTCTTTCACTTTTGGCTGAATCACATAGTTCCCTGACCATATTGGGGTGAAGATTTTTTAATTTTATTTTTATTTTTTTACCATGTACAGCTCTTCTTGTGTTGGAAGCCCAGTGCATAACCTCATGCCATTGAGTGACAGGGTCCTGAGCAGTTGAGATGCCAACCTGTCCACACACAGTTCACACAAGATGAGGCCTATAGGCTATGAGTCAGAGACGTTTTATCCGCAGACCTTTCTCTCTCACTAATGTGTTTCATTTCTTCATCTATTTCAGGCTGTGCCAGCATCTCAGAAATTGGCCAAGACCTGGTTCAGTTTTCAAAGCTGTAAACAGTCTCCTGCAACACCTGAGCATAAGAAGCCAATGACTGAGGTTCCACAACAGACTGAAGAGAGAGAAAGAAGTGAAAATATTGAGTATATAACATGACTGAGAAGGACTTCAGGAAACTCTTGAGGCTATTAGGAAAGGCTCTCTGTATTAGCAGCAATCACTATTTGCTTTTTTGAGACCAGTGTGTTCTTTAACACTTCAGACAGATGATACCCGTTTAAATACATATCATTTAAAGTGACTATTCCCTGACATTATCTGCGTTGGGCATTACTCCCAAAATCGGTTCTGTCTGGCAGCCAGATTGCAGCTCAAGCTACATACTTCTCTACTCCAGGAAGTATTGTGGCTGTATCTTCCATCGCCTGGGTTTTCTTGGAAGAATTCATAGCAGATACGGAAGCTAGATAAATCAGATAACAGACACTGTATCTCCCCTTTAAGGTGGAGTAGGTATTGTCTTCTTCTGAATGTAGAGAAACAAAGTGATTAGTGACCAAAGCAATGGGCTCTGCTCCTATGCAGATGGTTAATACGGTCTGTACACTTGTCAGAACAGTGGATGCACACATCTTCCAAGTACAGCATAAGTTTGTGGCATTGCATAAATGTATCAAATAAATGGATCAGATGTTCCTGGCTTCCTGGTCTTTTTGCCTATGGATGAGCTATTGCAGATAGGTAGGAGCTGCTGGTACCACCTCAGCAGTACACATTTTTCAGTCCCAGATCTGCTGCCATGCAAGAAGCATACACCTCTGAGGAGCAGAAATGCATGTTCATTGGTTCCCTGTCGCTCAGAGTTCCCTGTCCCTTCCCATGAGGAAGCACATCGTGGCCTGTGCCACCCACTGGACATCACTGGTGGTGATGTCCTTTTTCACATGGATATTTCTTTTTCAGTCTCATTCCTTAGAACGCAATCTTCAGTGACACCAAGTCTTTCCTTTCCCTTTGTTCTTCATTCCATTCCTCTCATCATCTCACTACCCCTGTCAATCCCCCCTCTCCATTATTTTGATTGTATTTCTTCAGAAATATTTTAGTTCTCACCTAGGCTACTATTTTTATATATTGCCAGATATCACAAGTCCCCAGTGTCACACAGCTTTGCAGATCTCTGAAAAGTGGCCACAACCTCCTCTCTCCAAACTCCTAAAATTGGCTGCTATCTCTGACTCCATGCTTCCAGTCTGTTTTTGCTATCTCAATCACACATTCCTATCAGGCTCTGATAGGAAGTGGTTTGCATGTTTCATTTTTATACATAGCAGTGACACTTATTTTTGAGCTATTTGTAATTAGCTTTAGCCTCTGGAGAACCAAGAAGGTGGTTTTCACCATTTTTCTTTCCCAAATACTCCAGCTACAACATACTACCACTAAAGATGTGTTTGAGCTCATCTGCCTAGGAGGAGCTCAACAATAATTAATCTTTGTGTATCGCTGTCCAAGTATAGCCATAAACAAAATTCATCTAAAATAGCTGAAATTGCTGTATAGCCATTTGGTCTTTCCTATAAATATGTTGTGATGTTGTGTAAATCAATGGGGAATCAGGCCAGTATAACTGGAAATGAAAGCTTAATCTCTGTAAAGACTTCAGCTGATTTAACTACTCGGGCTTAATCAAGTCTTTTAAATAAGCCTATGTAAACTACATATGACAATTGATAATGTGTTTCATCTTTAAAAATGCAATGGAATCTTAAAAACAGCTGCTAAGACATCTGACTCCTTGCTTTCTCTAAAGGAAATTTTAAGGCCAGACAGACACTGTTTTGTTGTTTGTTTTTTTTTTTGGCTGAAGTATGCTGAGAACACCAAATGTCATTTAGTGCCAGAGGGGTGCCAAGATTCTGGGTACATTCTCTGTTTCATGCACCTCCCATTTTTCCCATGCACACAAGAATGCATTTCTTGTACACCTGCAGCTATTTTCTTCTTTCTCCTCTCTGCTAAGCACCTGGTTTTGCAAGAATAGGAAAGACTGAGTCATGCCAAACAGGACTCAGCTGATGTGAAGATACATGAATCCAGAACTGCTGCCCAAGTCTCCACCACCCAGCTGGTGCCTCAACCTGCAGGACTCAAAAAAATCCCACCAGGCCCCACTGCTGCCTCTTTGGTGTACATAGAAGTGCTGCAGGTAATGCCCACACACTGAGATCGTTCTGCCTGCTCCCTGGCATTCTACCCACTGTGCAGGGATTAGGAACTGATGGTGAAATAAAAGGGGATTTAAGGACTCACATGATACATAAGAAGTAAAAGTAGGATTGTACCACGCTTTTCTGTGCATAGTCTGTAGTAGATTTTAAGCCAACAGAATGAGCAGATTCTGTAATTATTTTGCTTGTTATTGCAGAAAAGCCGTGCATTTTAATATGAATATAGTTGCAGTCCAAAGACAACTCTGGAAGAGTGAGTAGAGTTCTGCTCAGGGTGCTGGTCTGGGACTCAGGAGGTCCAACATTTCTACTTTTTCTCTGCTAGATGTTCTCCAGGTTTTTCTGAGTTGTACAACCAGGGAACAAAAACACAGAGTAATGATGGAACCTGCTGGACCTTCCGACATCCTGCCACACCATTTTTGTGCAGCTCTCTTTTTTAAGACAACAGACTTCAGGGCTGTTATATATGCTGTCCCCTGCCATCCCTTCCCCTCCACAGTCAAGAGGATTTTGAGAACGGAGTAGTATCATCAATCAAGACTATAATTTCACTGTTAATTCTTTAATATACAAATGCAGGTCTAAGGAGAAGGGAAGATTTTCCTTGTCAAGCTTGTGCTAGTGTCACACAACAGTGACTAGTAGTGAAGAAAAGGGATCTGAGTGCCCTGGCTGTACTCTCCCATAGTGCCGTGAGCACCAGTTTATTCCAGTGGGACACAGAGCAGTTGCCAAGAAGAAATGGAAATTGCACATTTGGTCACATTCATCCAGTTCACAGCAGTGAGCTGTGCAGCTGGTAGCAGTTACATTGCCCACTTCCCTTGGAGCCAAGCTACCAAGAACTGACCTTCTGCATCTGCCCTACTTAAAAGTGTCCTTACGCAGACAGAAAAGAGATGTTGATTCATGCTGTTTAGACTTGCATTTCTCACAGAGATAAGAGTGGCTGCAGTAATCTTGCAGAGGCCTTCACATGGAGGCCTTTCTCTCTGCTCCAGTAAAAACAAACCTTGTGGGCAGACTCACAGCCAGGCAGATATGACTCACGAATAATAACACATCACACCCTTTGATGGACTTCAAGGCTGTACAAGAAGAGACCACATGGACTGAGTTTGTTAATCTTAGCTTTGGAAGGTTAAAGCTGATGGAGGCAATCTTACCATTGCCTTTTACTACACAAGTGTGGGGACACAGAATCTGCAGCCCAATTTCTTGCGTGTGCACAGAAAAAGAATGAAAGGCAGTGGGTACAAGTTGCAATGAGAGGAATTCCAATTTGAAATTAGTGCAGGAAAATTTGTCATGAGAGTGGTCACATTCTGCAATAGGAGCCCAGAGGCTTCAAGATATCTTCATCCATAGAGGTATTCAGAGCTTAACTCCCCAAGGCCCTGAACAACCCCTGAAGCTGCTTTGAGATCTCCAGAGGCTTCTTCCAATCTAAATTGTAGGGGAACATCAATTTAATCACAAAATAAGAGCAACATATCAAATCTGTACCCTGCCTTACTATCATGGAGCTTCTGAGGCAGCACATAAATCTCTGCTGAAGAGGTGTGAGAACGCATTTTCTCAGGAAAAAAAGAAAAATATTTGGTGAATGAGCTTAAAAGAAGAGCTCATGGGATTCCATCAGGCTGAGACTCTGTTGTACAACCCTATTCCTCAAGTTTCCTGAGATTTTGGAAGTTTTCTACGGTTTGGAATAAATCTTTGCTAATGCATACCAAAGACACACTCTGTCCTTTTGCTTTCTGTATGTGACTGTTGTGAATATCTCTCATAAAAATTCAAGCAAGATCAAATATTCCAAAAAAGCTCTGTCCAGAAAGATTGTGAACATGTACGTTAAGACCTACTCAAACCCTGCTGCTTCTCAACATCCCTGAAGGCTATAGCAGAAATGGGCAGTCAGGCTATTTACAAGAATGTTTATCTACAAAATGGATCCAAATTAAACATTTTCCTTCGGCATATGTTGCAAATTCCTATGACCTTTAAATGTGCAATTTACTCATCAATTATACTTGAGAAAATACACTTCTGCTTAAAATTAAAGGGAAAATGAGACTAAATGCTAATTTCTAGTTAATTGCTCAACTAATTTGCTGCAACACGTATGAACAAACAATACTAAAGTCTTTGTGATCTTGAAGATTAAGTAAGAAAAGTTTACATTCACTTTCTCCCTTCTGCCAAAAGAAACTGATACTACTGAGATAGGATTTTTTTTTTTTTTTTTGGTCAGGCCCGAATGCACAGAAACTTTGAGGCCTCTTAAGGTGGTGATCATTAGATTTTGATTGATGTGTCTTAAAACTGTTCTCCACTGTGTGAAGTTGTGGTAACTCAGAATTTCTTTAAGCATAGTTGTCCGAAAGTTAATTATTTAAGTATTGTTGCTCCTTCTCAATTTGTAATCAGAGAGAATGAAAAATATTTCCAGGTAACAGAGCCCCCTGTCTGGAAGGGAAGAAGCTTTCCTTAAGTAAATCTACATCTCAAAGTATACCCTCCTTCCCAGAGTTGCCAGCATGTAGGCATTTTGAGCATACAGGCATATCATGTTAAGAAATGTGTTCACTCGATATGAAAAACATGTGGATTTTTCATGGCTTTTTTTCTTGGCCACAATTACTCTATGTTTAGACAGTAAAAGGTCCAGTTAAAATAATACACGTGTCTTTGATTTTCTCTGCTTCAGCTGTCATCACTCTGGACACCCTGGCACAATCTAGTGACCTCCTTGCTCAACCCTTAAGGTTTTATTTCTGCCCAAAGGGATGGGATCTGTCCTTCTTTTCCTGCTCCTACATAGCTCCGTTTGCCTGATTGCACAATAACAAATTAACCTCCTGTAAAAGTGTAATTATTTTATGCCACCTAAAACTTCTGTGCATTTCAAAGTTTATTGTGTTTATTTCCTTCTGGTATCTTGAGTCAGTTCATTCTCATTGCTGATGTGATTTTTTTTTCTTAATTTCTCCATCAGCCAACTGTTACCCCAAAGTATTTTTGTCATGGTAAGCAGCAAAAAACCTGGAGCACCAACACAGTTCCTGGGCCAGTATACTGGGGGACATGGGTGCAATGGGACACAATAGGTTGCTTGGTCTATATGAGCAGCAATTCTCCCAGAAGAACCAAAATCCACAAGCTCTAATTTTCTGAAACATGACTCTTGGACATCCACTCTTAGACTGTGTACAGCAGGAAAACATCAGATTGTGAAGGCCTTGTTTTGTGATAAAGCCAAGGAGGAGGAAGACAACATAGTTAAAAAATGACTATGCCTTGACACAAAGTCCAGTGCTGGCAAACTTGGTACACGCTGTTAAATTATGGTTTAGTTTACAAATCCCAAACCCACAATATAGCCTTGAATTCTTTCAAGTTGTTCCTGATGGTCAGGAGTCTGGTGTGCTCTGAACTCACTGCTCAGGGAAGCTGCTCCATAAGTTCCAGCTAAGCTTGGGCATACTGGTAGGTAAGCACGGTGTAGGAAAATGTCTCATACCCTAAGAGGCTTCACTGGATTGACTCTTTTTTATTATACACCTTTAGGGCATTTTATTTCCTTTCTAAAGTTTACCTTATGACGTACCACTTCTGAGTCCTTATACAGTACATTTTTCTTGCAAATTGTGCCTGCTGCACAAAATTAATTTGTACCACATTCTGATAAGAAGACACAAAATCAAGGTCCTGTCTGAGAGGATAGAAGAGCAAAGGAAAGAAACACAGATAACAATTTTTTTTTTTTTTTTTAAAGCCTTTTTGAGGTCAGGAAAAGATTTCAAGGACAGTGTCATTGAAACAGTTGCAAAAATTTTATCATCTGTGTCAGCTAGAAACTCTCTTCTCCTGGAACAAAGATGGTTTTGTTTTTCTGTTGTTATTTGGAGGCACAGTTTCTATAGCTTTTCTTCAAGAATCTCTTTTGTAAGTGAACAAAAATCACAATCACAGAATAAAACAGGGAGTTTAGGAGTGCTAAGTTGCAAAAGCATAATTATGCATTTTTAAAGATCCACTCCAGCTTTTCAGCAATTTCAGCATAATCAGGTGTGTTGCTGGGCTTCTTTATAATATCCCTTGGCAGATTTTAAATGGCTACCTGTTCAACATTTTGCTTCAGTCTTACTGTCCATGTTTGAGAAAGAGGAAAAGTCAGAGCATCCTGCTAGGACACAACAACCTGGGAAGGCAATGAGGACATTACGCACTTCAAGCTGGCACCTAAGCCTTACCCTGGTCCCACCCTTGGAAAGAATTTTGCTAAAACTGGGATGAAACCCTAGGGAGAAGTAACTGAGTGTTTTCCCCTTTTTCTGGTGACATAGAAAAATAATGACACCGTTCACTGTGAAGCCAGCCACACCCTTACTTTAACAGACATTCCACACCAGACATTTCAGAGTTGAATATTTTCCAGCAGCTTAAATTTAACCACTCTATAGTTTCGACCATTTCATCACTCTAAAAGCCTCACATACTCCAAACAAATAAAAAAATCTCCTGTTTTGCACAGAGTGAGAAATCCCTAATATAATGGGGGAGCTCAGTATCCAGAAAGACTCCACAAACAGTATAAACAGCTACTCCTATTTACATCTAATGTTCTCTCCCTTATTGCTATTATAGAAGCAATCACAGCTAGAGAATGATCAGAACAAGGATTTTTGCTCCTAGGATATAGGGCCAAGTCTAATCGGGTGTTCAGACCCCATTGCATCAAGGACATTCCACTCTGAAAGAGGAGGGGTGGAAGTACCATATTTGTTTGTAGCAAAGGAGACGTGTGAGAGGGAGGGGAATCAAAGTGGTGTGGTGCATAAATACAGGCAAATCTCCTTCACAGCCTTCTGAATGCTAGAGAGGAGGAACTGAAGTGGACACTGGTGGGGTTTATTTAGCACTGAGGTCAAGCACTTTCAGATAAGTTAACATCCTCGGTTTGTAATAGCTCATAAATAGATTTTACTTTGCAAGGGAAAGTAGCATAGGCTACTACTGGGTAGAAATAGCAAAAGGAAGAAATGCTTTAGAAATTGTTGTTTAATGTGAGGGTCAATTTGCTTTCCAATAATCTCTCTTTCTATTTTTTTGATCTGTCTCCGGAGATTGACGCCCCATGTTTGTTTTCTCAGGCAGGAGGTTACTGGAGCACTCAAAGCTCTACAGAGACAAAGAGAAGCAACCAAAGCAATGTCGCTGGCAGGGGTAAGCTGCCTGGTGACCGGCGCGGGAGGGTTCCTTGGCCGGAGGATTGTTTGCTTACTGCTGGAAGAAGATGAGGCGCTGGCTGAGATCCGGCTGCTGGACAAAGCCTTCAGCAGGGAGGCACTCTGGAGCTTTGGAAGTGAGTACCATCTTGTGAGCATGGTGAGCTATGAGTATGCATGGTTCTGGCTCAGGTGGATGGTTGGAAGCCCTTAACTCTCACTCAAACCCAGCTTTGTGGGCACAGATTTTCTTTCAAGGAAGTTTTGTTTTATTCCTATCTCTCTCTCCCTCCAGCACAGAAATCAGGCATAAGACTTGATAGCAAGAGTTTTCTTCACCAGGTCCTGAGGATTTGCTAAGACCAATGTGCTGATAGTGCAGCAAGCAAACTGCCTTCAGCCTGGCTTTCCCTTTGCACTCTCAGCACTGGCTGAGGTTTTTGTGGATATAGCTTAAAATTTGGTTGTTATTATTGCAGTTGCTTGGAGGGCAGAAAATTTGTGATATGCACAGAAGAGACAGGACCCATTTCAAAGGGCAAGCCAGAGCTTTGTTTCTTTGAATGGGCTGGAAACAGCATAAAAGAGAAGTACATTCACGGTCAGCAGCAGTCTGTGGTAGAGAAAGCAGCTCAGAAAACTATTTTGTACTTCACTGTACCCCATTTCCTGGGATCTTGAGCACTTCTATAACAAGCCACATGGGTACCTAATCATATTCTTTAGTGCCTATCTGACAGGACATTTAATTGACATGCATTCCTCCATCACATCGTACCCTCAGAGCTATTCTTCCCCCATGCTGACATTACCTTTATGGGAACCTTTATGGAATACCCCAATATAATTTGCTTAAGAGCCACTATCTCTCTACAAAGTGCTTAAGTGCCCTTGAAAAGTAGTAACAGTACACCATAAACCTGGTGCAAATTGTGCAAGCATTTAGAATGGTTTTATATGACCTTTATGAAACTTCCTTCTCATTAAATCTCATTCACCATTTCTCTGTGGATTTGCTAGATGCCCTTGAGCTTTGCAGCAGCCCTTTCTGCTCTGATTTCCAGGCAGGTCCCACAAATGACAAAGCCTGCAGCTGCACAGGTTCCAGCAGCACCAGTAGCGTGTGTGAACACAGTCCTGGCTGGGCTGCAGCAGAGGTTTCACCGTTCCTTTTGTGTTCACAGAAAAGAGCCGTGCCCTCTTTCCCTCTCCTCCCCCTTCCCTCCCCAGAATATTACCCAGTCACTGCCTTCTCCTGCTCTTGCTGCATTCCTGCTGCCTATCTGACCAGCTCGGGAAAAATCAATTATCAGAGCTTTCTTTCCCCCTTCTTTTCCCCCCACAAACAGCTGGCATGCAGTTCAGCTCTGTTTTAACTGCTGAACGCTGCTGCACTTTGTCCTTCTGTTTCTATCAGCTTCTGTAGCTAAATGTCTTCAAGTGCCTGTGCCCAGGACATCTGATGTAGCTTCCTGCTATTCCCCTTCAAGCCCTTCCCCAGCACAGCAATCCCTGCTCCAAACGCAAAGCTGCTGCAGACGTGGGGCTGAAGTCTTCTCACCTCCAATATTTTCACAGCAGTGACTTTGGTTTACTGGCACACATTTAGATATATATTGAACACCCGGGAGCAGAACCGAGTCATTTTCTGTCTGACTGAGCTCTCCAAGTACCTTATATTTGGAATATTTTGCAGAGTCAGGTTCATGGTTAATAAGACACAGGAGCATGTGCAAGTTGCAGCTCTTTGTGCCAGCTTCTGCTGAGGGCACTCAAGGACACTTGTCTTTTACTGAAGCAAGTTTCCAGCTGAGACTTACACAATCACACTCAGTCCGTATAGAACAGTGGCATTTGCTGTCTTCCACACCCACAGGGAGTCTGGCAGAGTCCCCTCAATGCAATGTGCTGCAAGCTGGGGCCTGCCCAGTTGTACTGTGTGGTTGAGAATTAATGTGGTATGGAACAAGGTAGTTGGTGCCACAGGTTTTCTACCTCTCATTTCCATTACACCATTTCTCTGGTTTCAGTTATGCAGTTCTTTTTGTTTACAAATACGTGTGCAGCTCAGGTTTTTGCACTACTAACCCAGAGCTGCTCCAAAGTAGAAGAAAAGTAGAGGGAGAAGGAGGTTTTTTTTTTTCTTTTTTTGTTTTGGCTTGATGTGGTGTTGTTTTTTTCTTCTTCCCCCTGTACTTTTGTTGGGAGAAAGTTGGGAAGTCTCCTGGCTTTTAGTTTAATGTAGTAGATTTGCCTTTTTCACCGTATTCAAAAAGAAATGTAAAGTAGTTGTGGAAAAACTCAGCAGCTGAAATGGGAACAGAATAAACATCTCAGCCTCCCTAAGGGCTAAAGAAAATAATAGCCTTGTATTTTATGTATGAAAATACGATGCAGTTTTCAATTTTGTCCCGTGAATGAGTGAATTTCGATCACTTTAATGAACCATCCATTTACCCGGGAAAGTGGAAAGCTCTCTTGTACAGGGCATCATAGAAAAAAAGAAAGAGAGTTTAGGACAAATAATCTGACTGGATTGGTGAGTCAGAAACTGCTCACAACAGGACATTGTATTTTACTAAGTAAACATTACATTTCCAAACAAAAACTACCATGTAGCAAGTGGAGAGCATTGTTTACAACTCAGCTTCTTATAACCACAACTTCAATTGCAAGCCCAAGCAAGGCACAAAGCAGCTGGACCACAGCTTTCCAATGACTGATACCCTCCATCTCTGTGATCAGATTTATAAAAGGCAGTTCCTTTTATATTTTTCCTGAAAGCTTTGATTTTCGTGTGTAAAACCCTCAATTTGCCTAGCTCCTGCCCAGCCACAGTAACCACTCTAAAGTACATGTATGTCAGAATTTACATTGTGAAAATCACATAGTTCAGTCCTTTGGATTACTGCATCCCCACAAAGTATTACTTGTGGAGGGCATCCCTCCATGGACTGTGCAAAGACCAATATTTGTTCTAGCAAATGTATCATATGCTTCACAAAAACCCTATCTCCATCCATACAGGTAGAGATCAGTGTAAACCACCTAAAAACAGAGCCCTATTATTTCCTAATACGTGCACTCTGTAAAATAAAGGAGCACGGGATGGTGCATGGCAGTGATTGTGGTGGGAGAACAGCAGCTTTAGATTTAGTGAGTTTTTGGAAACCCTAAGCAATTAGGCTCTTGTTCCGTATTCCAGATCGAGAGGATGTAAAGAAAAAAATAAGGCCCTCAGACTTGCTGTGTAAGAACAATTTTTAAACTTAGGCAGGATTAAATCCTGTCAGGTTATAAGATGAAAAAGAAAACCACTGTAAATGGTATCTCACACTCAGTTCCATGACTTAGCAGCTGTGTCTGTCAGTGCTTCTTCATTAAAGATATGGGGTGAAATCCTGCCTGCTTCAGACCCAGTGACAAAACAGTAGAGTACACACAATTTTAGCCATGGCTGATGATAAGCTGTGTAAATTAATCAAGTCCTTGCCTTATGTACATTCACGGAAGCTAGAAGACACAGCACCTGTCTGTGGCTGGGGAGCCCTCTAGTGCATGCACAGCAAGTCTGGGAGAGCACTTTCTGTGAAGACACCACATCCTTAGAAGACGCAGTTTGCACTGAGAAAACCTTCTCCCATGACAAAGCTGCAGGCAGGCCACCAGAATCCCAGCAGAGCAGCGTGGCTTCAGTCTGTAAGTTCCTCTGTGCCATTAGCCTCCTGTGGGTGGAGAGGGATCATTCTTCACCTTCAAGACCTGAGCAGCAGTGTCTGGCTGTTTGGTGCTTGGGTTAATAGTTTAATAAGAAGCCAGCTTCTAGAACGTATGTAACTAGAGCTGCTCACCTTGTGAAATTTAAAATAGATCAGTTTCATACCTGAAGGTCCCTGCTGGCACTGGAAAGGATTTCTTGTTGTTATTTTTCTTTTTTTTTTTAAATATATCTATAAGGCATTACGTTGAACATGGCTCTGAAAGTATGGTAAGTGATGCAACATAGGCCTTATAGCTCTGCAGTTCGCCCCTGCCATTACCGCCATTGGAAAATGCCTTCTGTTTCACCAGCTTCAGCAAGCACACAGCCCTCCATCACTTCTGCCAGCACTCACATTAGGACCCCTGGAAGGACTTTGCTTTATTTTCTGCTGCCTCTGCAGAGTTCCAGGGCAAGACTGAGGTGAAAATCCTGGAAGGGGACATCCGAGATGTGGAGTTCCTGCACCGTGCCTGTCAGGGGGTCTCGCTTGTCATCCACACAGCATCCATCATTGATACCCTGGGCCTGGTGGAGAAGCAGCTGCTCTGGGAAGTCAACGTGACAGGTAAGAGAGCAAAACGCCTTTCTCAGGCCACTGCCTGTCACAATATTTCAATATATTCCCTAAAAGAAAAAGTTAATCCTCATTCCTCTGATCCACAAACCCTCTGTGCTGTGAATGGGCACTGCCTGCCTTCCGTGCATACTGGTACTTCAGCTCCTAGGTGAGGATATGGGGAAGACGTTCTTCTTGACATGAAAGACTTTCTTGGTTCTTTGTTCTTCCCTACCGCAAAAGAAGGACTTCCTCACTGAAAAATGCAAAACATGTTTCTACAGACTACACTTGTATACTGACTGCACATCCATGTCCAGAGCAAGAGAGCAGTCTTTCTACAAAAGTTGTATTGTCGCTCTTACACGCATTCTAAAACAGTGGCATGGCATTTTGGTTGTTTCAGCCTGACCCATCAGCTGTATATTCAGTTTCCAGACCCTTTCAGTTCTGGTCTGTCAAAGCTGCAGGTTGGCAGAGACCACAATTGGAGCAGGCGGTTGTTAAGAACCCTGCTGGAGAGAAGGTCAAAAAGGCAAGTTCCTATAAAGCTGTCCACTGTGTGGTATGAAAAAATAAATATACAGGGAGAGTAGTTCAGAGAGATAATTTGTCCTGCTACGATCTGGTGGTTGTTGTTGTTGTTGTTGTTGTTGATTTAACAAGGTCAGCTGGTAAATATCAAAGTTCTCTTCTCTTTTTCCTTCCATATCCACTTTGATGCTCTTTCGGCTTGCTGCCCAACTGAGACACTGCTATGTACTTCACAAGGATGTGGGATTAAAGTTTTCCTTCTCCCAGAAAAATAAGAATTTTTATAATAAAAATGTGTCCAGAAACCAGATGTGCATGTTCACAAACCAGAACAAAAACAAACAAAAAAATACATTCAATTCCCAATGAATTTTTTATTTAAATCTTCCTGGCTTCTAATTTGGACATATGAACAGAGGATACTCAGGAGGGGAAAATTCCTAGATCTTATCTTCCACAAATCGGAGCAATCTGGGTGTGAGTGGATCCCTCAAGGGAAGTGGCAAATCCTGAGAACATGTAAGGGATGGGATCAATCCCTCCGAGAAGTTGGCCTTCTTTTGGCAGCCACATTCTCCAGAGGGAACCTGCCCACTACAGGCTTTTGGAATGGGATCTCAAGAAAGAAATGCAACAAAGAAAGCCCATGCGGCATCTCCAAATTCCAATCTCAGGTCGAGGTGTGAGAAGATCAATAAGCAGTGAGTTAAATTTGCCCTGATGTGGAGATCGTCTCAGTCTCACATTTTACACA